TCAACTGTTAACTACTGCCTAGCAATCCACCCCAAAATGCAGTGGCATAAAGCAGCAGCCCTTTTATTATTGTTCCTGAGTTTGGGTGGACTGGGAGGTTCTATAATGAGCAAGTGATAGCCAGGCTGGGTGTTCTCAGATGGCCTCAATCATGTCTGGCAGGCTAGTTTGGCCTGAGGACCTCAGCCGGGACAACTCAGCTCTGTTCCATATGGTCTTACTATCCAGCACTGGTGGTCTCAGGGCAGCAAGTGGGGCTTGTCAAGAACTCAATGCATGAGTTCTTTTGTAGACTACTTGGTCATGATTGCGAACGCCCTGTTGGCCAAAGAAAGTCATCAGGCCAAGCCCACCTAGAGAAATAGACTCTACCTCTTGATGGAAACACTGCAGAGTCATACTGCAAAATCATATGTGACCCACATACAGGGGTGGGAGGAATTTGTGGCCATTTGTTGCAATCTCCCACCCCACTGGCAGCAGGGAGCCTGAAGATGCTGAGCCATCTTGCAATGAGTAGAAGCATTGGTGTGCTCAGGTCTAGATTGTTGTCCCAGGGTGCACTCCCCTTCTCCCACTTGGATTTTACAGGTAAGTGTGGACATCTCAAGACAAAACAGGGCTAAGTCAGCTGTTTCCCCGGATCTTTCACCACACAGCATAGTGTACACTTTCTAGGCCAACCACACATGTGACAACCGGGGGAGGAGGACAGGGAACACATTGGAAATTGGAGCACTTCTGCCCTATCTAAAGGGGGCACCACTGCCCAACTTCTATCGGTGGTGGCCATGTGCGAATGCCAGTCCAGGGCTGCCAGATTGTATGACTTTTTAAGATGTGCCAGGAATCCCACTTTTCAGGTGGATTTCCTCTTTTTTTAAAGCTTGGCATCTATTTTCAATTTTTTTTTTTTTTAAAGTAAAAGTTACACACCACATGTCCGTAGGCAGGTTTCAGCCTCCGGGCTGCTGGTTTATGATTGCTGTGCAGACACTTGTTCTCAGATTTAATATGTGCCATGTCAGTGGATTCTCAGGTGACCTACAAGGCCCCTTTCATGGAGTAAAGGGTAATTTTACAGAGACTCTAAATTTGAGCTTTTCGAGTTGCAGTTGGTGAGTGGGAGCAAGTCACCGGTTGGTGAGCTGACCGATAGCCTTGTGGCCTCGCATCTTCTTTGTGACATGTGTTGCATTCATGGTAAATCTCCTGAACTGATACATTATATGTTTCCCTGTAAGCAAGAAAAAAGCCAAGCACTGGTGAAGCGGAGAGAAGGCAAAGTGATCAGAAGAGGGATGATTCTCAACTAGGAAAGAACAGTTTGGGATAAATTAAAATGTGCAATTTGACTTTTGCTGGTGGCGCAAATTTACTGTGTGAATAAATCCACCGTTCTCTAGACCTATGGTGAGAATAAATCCGCCATGATATGGTATTCAGGCCAGCAGTCCCCCAAGTGAGCGATGAGAGCTTCAAAAAGAGTTAAAAGGCGGCTCCCTCGCGTGGTGTGAGTTTATGTGCAGCAGACACCAGCCGGTCAGTGGGAATGTGACTCGGGAGAACTTGGGCACCATGTGCAGGCGTTTCTGGGAAGCCACAGTTGGGAAAGCTCTGGTGGTGGAGCTGCAGAGTTGACCTACACTTGGAGAAAGAGTGATTTCATTTTTAAAAGCATCTTCTTAGCATAATATGACTCAAAGGGCACAGGCAGCACCCAACAATGATCATGTTGCCAGAGCATTCCCTTGCAAATGAAAGACGCTCGGGGCAAAAGGGTTTGTGCAGACAAAACTGTCCTTTTCCACGAAGAAGTAAGTGTAGGGCTGTGGTGGCCAAGGCTACACGCTGGGCTTCCTAGTTATCTCGGAGGGGCTGGGGGGAGGGGGCGTGCTGTTCCTCCCCAGCCCCAGACCACTGGGGCAAAAGAGGAAAAGCCTCTTACCCACTTATTGGCAGTAAAAGATAAGGGTCAGCACACAGCTGTTTTTAGACTGATTTTATAAGTGCTGTATGCAGGTGGCAAAGGAGCTAATGAGTTCCAGGTTCTGCTTGTCCTAGCACTGCCCAAGCCTTCTGCCAATGCTGGCATTTGTAGCCCCAAATGCCAGGGTGCTGGCACATTTGTTTAGCTTTGCATGCATCCTTGTCCCTTATTTGTAGAATCATCTATAGGCTCTGAACAGGGCTTGAGTTTTTCAACTGTGCTTTAAATGATGGAGGGAGCTCTATGCTTTAGTGATATCCACAAATACTGAAATTTGTAAGGTTTGGGGTTGAAGTCGTTTCTCATCCACTCATTTGACAAAAGTCATAATGCCAGGTGCCAGGGGTGGAATAGTAAATATGACGGCCGTGACCTCATGAAGAGCTGAGGCCTGCGGGGCTTATGTGGTACCAGGGCTCCATGAGAACTGGGCCACAGCTCTCTTCCCTTGTGCTCACCATTCTTCCTCTTGCTCCCCCATTCAGTCCCCTTCAGTCCCCTTGCCATTCTTATGTGCTGAGCTCTGCCCACCTCAAGGCCTTGGCATCTGCTATTCCCTCCACCTAGAACAGCCACTCACTGCCTTCAGGTCTCCACTGAGATACCCTCTTTCCTGACCCTGCATCTGAAATGACAGTGCATTCCCTCCCATCACATCTGACCCTTTACCGTGCACACATGCCTGATCCACATCTGTCTCTGCCTGGGACTGTGAGGTCTATGAGGGCACGGCTGTGCCCATTCCACCCACCTCTGTACCCCACACCCAGGGCAGTGTCTTGCTCAACCAGAGATGCTCACAGTGTAGTGCAGGTCAAGAGTCTGTGTGTTAAATGCCTTTTGCCTGGCCAGTAATCCACTTCTGCTTCAGGGGCCAAGGTGTGTCTGTACTTCAAGTTTTCCAGCTCCAGCTTCAGTGTGACTTGAGACCACATCCTTTAGCTCCCGTTGCTCCTTGCTTCCTGTGCTCCCAGCTACTTCAGGGACCTGATCACTTTTGCACTGAGGGAGGAGGATCCCAGCATGGTCCTCCTGACCCTTGTACCCACCCATGTTTCCATAACAATAAGGAAGCCCCTTCCATCTCTCATATTCTCTGCCCAAGTTCGTTTTTCCTTCTCAGCCTTCCAGTTGCAGAGCAGGCCAGGTAATCGATGAGAGGGCAAATGAGGAAGGGCAAGGCACCTGCATCCCCAGCCACTCTCCTGGGCACCTGGTAGAAACTGGCATTTCCTCATTTTTGCTTAGCTTTTCCAAAGAAACCCATAGTCCCCAGCAACCCAGTACCTGGCTGTAGTGGAAGCCAGCCCCATAGAGCTTCTGTGTGTTTCTTGTCCTCTCCTGCCAATGCCATTGTCAACGTTGCTACCCTGAACACTCATTCAGGTGCAATATGAAGATGGGAACATGGCAGGAGAGTCTCCCGCCATGAGGGCAGGGTTGTAGTTTCCCCGATCACTGTTGTGTCCTCAGTGCCAAGAACAGAGCCTGGTGCAGTGATGCTCAACAAATATTTGCCCAGGGGATGAAATCCAGTAAGTAAAAGCCTCTTTAAGCATCCCAATAGAAATATAAACATAAATGATTGAAAATATGTTACAGTGACCCCCCACACCACCACCGCCACCATGTGCCCAAATACCTAATCTTGGCAATAACCAATTTATGGCTAATTTCACTTACTGTGTACCCATTTCCCAGATTATTATGAAGCAAATCCAATTGTTCATATAATTTTATCTGTAGGTATTTTAGTATTCTTTTCTTTCTATAGTCACTTGGTACTCCATGGGGTGGAGGTATCATAATTTGTTTTATTCAACCCATCTTTTTGCTTATCAATTTATATTTTTATAAAACTGAGTTTCCATTCATGGGAACTTCCAGAATCAGCTGCCACTTTGCAATACTTTTTTTCTTAAATTGGGATGCAATTACTTTGCAATACTTATTACCCATGCACAAACAAAACAGAAGAAAAGCAAAAATATTACAAAATACCCCTCTCTTTCCATGATAGCATATACTATTCCTTATATGTACTTTCTTAGAGGGTTAATTTTTTTATAGCTTTTTATTTTGATACAATTTCAAACTTAAAAAGATGCAAGGATAGTACTAACAACATTTCTATATACCCTTCTCCCAGATAGCCAGACGCACCGGTTGTTAACATCTTGCCCCTTGCTTCATATTCCACCTGTATGTATATATGTTTGAATGTGTATGTAAGATAATTATATATTTTATATATAAAGCATATATATGTATACACATATGTGTATGACCTCTATAAATTATGTAAATATAGATACAGAGAGATGTGTGTGCATATATTATTATTTTTAACTATTAGAGATTAAGTGCAGACGTCATTTCCCTTCACCTCTGACTCCTGCAGTGTGTGAATGTGTATGTAAGATAATTATATATTTTATATATAAAGCATATATATGTATACACATATGTGTATGCCCTCTATAAATTATGTAAATATAGATACAGAGAGATGTGTGTGCATATATATATATATATATACATATATATATATATATATATTATTTTTTTTTTTAACTATTAGAGATTAAGTGCAGACGTCATTTCCCTTCACCTCTGACTCCTGCAGTGTGTGTTCCTAAGAGCAAGGACATGCATTTTACATGGCCACAGTACGCTTATGGAATTCAGGGTATTTATCATAATATGATACTATGATCTAAGCTGCTGGCCCTATTTGAATTTCTCCAGTTGCCACAATAATGTTCTTCACAGCAGTTTTTCTCACCCAGCACCCAGCCCCAGAGCCTCTACTGCATTCAGTTGCCATGTCTGCCCAGTCTCCTTTAATTTGGAACAGTTCTCCCTCTTTCCTTGTCTTTCGTGACCTTGACATTTTGGGAGAGTACAGACCAGTTGATTTATAGTACATTCCTCAATTTGGGTCTCGTGGATTTTGAGCTGCACTCTGAGAGCATAATCTCAAGGAGCATCCTCCTGTTTTCTGCCCCAGGACCGGGAAGCCGGCGCGAGAGGCCCCTCTCTGCAACGCGCAAACCTGTGTACGAGGCTGAGGACCGACAGGAAGATGCCTCGGCCGTACTCCGAGCCATCCATGTGGAGAATGCAGCCCTACAGAGGGCCATGCTCAGCAGGAAGGCCAAGCCGCCTGCCAGCCCACTGCAGGTGTGCTCCCAGGTGGGGGAGGGACCTGCAGAGGATGCTGGGGCTCCTCAGGGACCAGGCAGCATCTGAGTAGCCACTGAAAAGAGCACATGGGAGAGTTAGGTGTACGGGTATCCCTAACCTCAGACTCATCTGCATTTCCACTGCTCACTGACCTGCCAAGGTTCCAATTCCTTCTACCTTCTTTCAGCTTTTGGTTGATTTCAGAAAGCCTAAGCTAGGTGCGAATCTAATTTCACTGCAAACCCTGGATACCTTATACGGGTATCCCTAACCTCAGACTCATCTGCATTTCCACTGCTCACTGACCTGCCAAGGTTCCAATTCCTTCTACCTTCTTTCAGCTTTTTGTTGATTTCAGAAAGCCTAAGCTAGGTGCGAATCTAATTTCACTGCAAACCCTGGATACCTTAGACCAGGATTGCAAACTGGAGGGTCAGTGAAAGAATGACATGAACAGCAAACTCTGGCTTCCCTGGAAGGGTCTTATTTCTGAGAGCATGAGCCTTTAGGCTTACACAGTCTTCACTACTCCCTACTGTCCTACCACGGCCCATCTCCCTTATTCATGAAACCTTCCTGGCCCCACAATTTGAGTTTGTGCCTGCTGCCTTCAGCTCTGAGCAGCAAACAGGAGAATAAAAAGAGTCCCTGCCCCTCTCTGTGCCCTCATCTGTCAGTGAAGAGTATACAGTAGATGGCTTTGTTTCAACTCACATCATGTGATTACATCTTTCCAGGATGTGGAGGGACCACCAGCAAGACCGTGGACCAGTGTGCTGAAGGAGAAGGAAGAGACCCTCGAGGTCAGTGAAAAGCTGAGATGGACAGCAGAGTCACACGTGTGCACAAAGCAAGTGATGATCTCCAGGGCACTTTCCTTCCCACAGTCCCAGCTGGTTCTCACCATGCACCCTGAGTACCAGCGTCATTCTGCCCATCTCCCAGATGGGGCGACTGGGGCAAGAGTGGCCCAAGGTTACGAGTTGAAGCCAGAACTTACTCGGGCCTGCCGACTCCAATTCCTTGTGACGTTTCTGTTTCCTGACAAGACAACACAAAACTGATCTTAGTATCTAAATAAATAAATTATATCTGTTGAGGTCCATTAGGCGTATCTCAGCAAAGATGGCCCCAGCAAATAAGGACGTGATTAGTAAAACACCCAGGAATGTCTTTGTTAGATTGTACACATGTCCGTGCTGCGTGCTCAGAACACAGACATGGCTGCGACGGGAATGCTCCTGGCCTCATGGAACTTACAGGCAAGAGCAAAGGAAGCCGTAGATGAACAGGGTCACTTGAGAAAGGGATGACAGTCAAAGCTGCTCAGGGCAAGAGAGTGGCAGGGTGCGGGGTGAAGGATGGTCCCATGTGAGCTGAGCCCTCCCAGTAACAAGCCAACCACCAGGAGCAGTGTTCCAGGTGGAAGGAACAGGGAACAGGCTTTAAAGTGGGAATGAGCCTGGCTTAATCAAGGAGCAGGAAGAAGCCCTACATGTGTGGGGCAGAGGGGAGGGGGAGAGGGAAGGAAGAGAGAGAGCGTCCAAGTGTGACAGGGTTGCGGGCAGGTCAGCACCCAGAGCACCGTGGTGGTTTTCTCTCTGCATCGCTCCTGCTTGTCCTATTAGTCCCCATCCATCTCGAGCCATCGCCAGCCCATATTTCTGACGGACCTGCAATACTGCTCACCCTGTGGTCTGGGATTTCTGGAAGACCTGACCCCCTGACCCACAGAGCTGCTGACAGCTACAGTCATCTGCAGATAGACAGCAGGGCACACTCCTAGTGTATAAGATAAATGAAAAAGAAGGGGGAACAACTTAGAGGATTAAAGATGAAAGGGCCTAATGATGTTACTGGAATTCTCCATGGGGTCTGGTTACTTCGTAGCAAACAACAAGTTCAGTTGACAAGGTGAAAGATTTTAATAAGAGAAATTTTTCAATAACTCATTATAGAGATTGTTTCCTAGACTTTTGCAGATCATCAGAAACTGAGATTGTATAAGGGGTCTAGATCTAATCAGCCCCCAGGCAGATGCTGTCACCCTGGGACTAAGAAGTGTGTGCCTCTGACCATGGCCCTGCTGTGTCTTGGGCCAGGAGCATTGCCTCAGACATCTGCTTAATAAGCTTTTCCATCCTCAGCTTCGTTCCATCAGCCCAGTGACCACCACTCAGAAGCCATCCCAGGCAGCAGAGGGAGCCCAAGCCATCGACCAAGCCATCGACAGAACAGGCCTTTTGGGAAGCAGGTACTTACCAAGGCCGATTCAAAACCAAAAGCAAAACCAGAAAACCCATAGCAGTGTGGCCATGAGGACCTTATTAGATTTTTCTTTGCTTTTCCTACGTTATTTCAGACCATTTTAAACTGCTCCTTTAGACTGTACCGTCCCTCGCCCCCTTCAGCCTTAAAGCACAAAGTTCACTTTCAGGCAAATGACTCTTGGCTTGTTCAGTTCTGTCCCAACCTATATAAAATTCCAGCCTTCTCAACGTTTCCACTCGAGTGTCCCACGCAGCACAGGGGGTGAACTTGTTCCCCAGCTGGCCTGGGTGGTGAGAGGGGCCCAGAGCAGTGTCCTTTGAAGCTCCTTTGCTCTATCAAGTTTGTTCAAATGGAGCATTCTGTTCTGTTAACATGTAGCATCGGTTATGGTAACTGTCAAGTTTTATTATCAAAATAAAGGCTTCCCTCTAGTCTTCAGGCAAAATTATCTCCAGAAAGATGTGCCAGGTTGAGCCAGTAGTTCAAGCTTGCCTTGGCACGTAGGTGCACTCCCAGGGCCACCATGGAGACCTGTGCATGTTGTGGACTGTGCAAAGTGGCTGGCTAATGGGTGAGAGGGACCAAAATCCAGCCTTCATGCCAGTCACTAAGCTGAGGCCCTGAACTGGGACTGCGGCCACCTGGAAACGGGGGTGGGGCTTTTTCTCTGCAGGAAGGAGGAATTTACTGGGCAAGCTGTGTGCCTTCCAGGTCAGCGTCCACCTGGAGGGAGCTCTTTTTATGACTTTTAGAAAAACTGAATAGGCTTACAGAAGTGCTATCCATTCCTCTAAAAGTTTGCAGACCCTGGATGCAAAGCATGGCTGTATACCTTGTGGCCATAGATAAGAACTTTCCATTTCCGCTGCATGTGACAAGGCCACAGGGTTGGTTTACATCCATTACAGTTTTATTTACAGACAGCACTCACATCACCAAATGCTCCTTTCTTCCTCATCATCAAAATCCTTTGTGCTTCAGGGTCTTGGGGGTACTCAGCCTTAAACAGCACGTGTGGGCGTGTTTACAAATGACTAAGGCACCCGCTGCTGGGTGTGGAATACCTGTGTGCTCAGAAATAGGAGGAGCAGGAAGATCTCTAGACCATGGGCAGCAAACTGTTTCCATAAAGAGCCACATATAGATACTTCAGGCTTTGTAGTTTTTTGTTTGTTTGTTTGTTTTAACAATCCTTTAAAAACATAAAAACCAGTCTTAGCTTGCAGGCCCTACAAAAACGGGCTGTGGGCTGGATTTGATCAGCCCTTAGCTCAACTGACCCCCGCCCTTGACTCTTTGCAAGTTCTCAATCAGCATAGGGAGGTCAGCTGGCCGTCCTGTGCCAAGCTGTGTTTCTCCAACCACACTGTGGTTTCATCACTAATTGTACAGCTGTTTATAAAGAGAAAACCGCCTGGGTGCCTGCCTGTGTCTTTGAACTGTACACAGGGTGCATGGTTTCTTCTCAAATTGTTACTTCTCTCCTTGGTAGAAGAGTCACCCTGGTATCTTTGATGGGAATGTTCTCTTTCGTGTATCATTTGTTACTACCTATTTGCTAAAACAAAATCCCATTTCAGACAACAGCAGAAGCTTCTGAAAGTCCTCCCCGCCATTGAAAGTGACTCTGCCCTTCTCAGTGGGGTTGTTTCACCCCCTGGTATCTTTGATGGGAATGTTCTCTTTCGTGTATCATTTGTTACTACCTATTTGCTAAAACAAAATCCCATTTCAGACAACAGCAGAAACTTCTGAAAGTCCTCCCCGCCATTGAAAGTGACTCTGCCCTTCTCAGTGGGGTTGTTTCACCACCTGAGGAGCGAGTACCAGACCCAGAGGTGAGAGCCTCAACTTGCATTCAGTGTCTTGCCTGAAAGCTGGGGGTGGGAGGGCCCCTCGGAGCCATCATTGCAAGTTGGTGGGGATTTCTCAAACAGTGGGCAGCCTAGAGTTTTTCTGCCCAAGTCTCTACCTCCTCTCCTCCCCAGCATACAGACAGACCTATGATGCGAGAAGCAGAAAGAGAGAAAGAAAGACGTGGGCCAGAAGTTACAGCAGAGAGAAGCCTGTCCGTACAAGAGGAAATATAAATAGCATCTAAGTCCATAGGAAAATGCCCAACATTGCTGGTAATCAAGAAATGCAAACGAGAGCAACCTAAACGTCCCATTTGATATCGAGTTAACAAATTATTTTTAATGATAACTTCTTGTGTTGGCAAGGTTACGGTAAGGCTGCCACACATTGCTGGTGGCCGTACAAGTGGGTGGAAACACTGTTGGAAACCGGAACGGCTTGACTCAGGAAGAGCCTTAGAAAATACTTATGTCTCCAGCCCAACAATCTCTCTTTCTAACCCGAGGGAAATCACTCAACCGAAATAAAAAGCTATAGGCACAAAGATGTCTATTGCAGAATTATTGGATATAGGGAAAAATAAGAAAAAAAAATAACCTAACTGTCTCATAATAATGGAGTTAATCAAGAAAGTATGACATATGAACATAGTGCGGTAGTATAAAAAGACAGAAACTATTACTATGAATATTATGCAGACAGAAAACTTTAAGGGTATAAACCCAGCATCATCTAGTCCAATATAAATGCAACGACCATGCAAAGATGTGGCTGTGTAAAAGTGTTGACGGACCTGGGATGTAAATTACAAAAGGAAACGGTGGCATCAGGATGGGAGGACAACAGTGATTCTTTTTTCTTATGTGCCAAAAGGTGTGTGTCCCAGCACATCCTTCTTGCACCTACTTTTTTAGCCTTTCTTATGCTAATTTGGTACAGTGGACACCATTCTTACAATCAGCCAGTGAGGACTTAATATGACGTCCTCCCAAAGCCACGTGTAAAACTCAGATGATAGCAGACCAGGGTTCCACCCTTGAGTCTGGCACTGTCGTTTAGAGGTCATGGACTTAGACAAGCCTCTTAAGCTCTCTGGTTCTGGCCATCAAATAGGGTCAATAATCCACACCCGATGGCCCACTGGGAGAGTGAAATAGGAAAGGTGTGCAAGGGCATGGGACTCAGTGCCTGGCAAATAGCGGGGAGGAACTGGTGCCTATCAGCTGACAGTTCACCGTCTAGAAAAATCAAAGCTTTGCTTCCCCTGCATGGAATAGTTGCCTTCTCAGCTGTGAAGATTCTTCGTGTGATGAAACTTCAGCCACATTAAAATGAAGCTAGATTGATTAAGTCTCTTATATTGTAGGAGACAGAAAATCCAGGGCAAAATGACTTCTGTAACAGGAGAAAAATTACAGAATCTTGTCATTGAAAATGCTACAGGTGGGGCCGGGGACCACAGCTTCATTCAGTGGCTCACACCGTGTCTTTCCACTCTTTCTGCACAGTGTCAGCTGCATCTTGAGCCCAGACCCAGCTCTGCTCTCTTCCCCAGCCCCTAAATAGCTAGAGGAGCTCCTACTTCTCACCCTCAGACCCTTGGACCTGCTGTCAGGAGAGAAGAGCCGTCCTCCCTACACAAATTTGAGATTGGCATGCTTGCACAGACCCAGCTGGGGGGTGGTCTGACACTAAGCCACTCCCTTCTGGTGGCACAGGGGACAGGACACACTGATTCCTTGGACCAGTCAGGCTCCTCCTTGGAACGGGAAAAGTTCGGTCCTCCTATACCTTCAGGCTGAGAAAAGAGAAAGGGTGGCTTCCTCAAAGGAAAATTCCGTGGTCTCGGTGAGAGAGCGGGCAGGGAGTGCAGGGTCCAGGGGCTTCCCAAGCAGCATTCCCCTCAGACCCCCAGAGGGATCCTAAGTCAAGCAATACAGAAAGCAGGAGTAGCCCTCTAGCCACAATGCTGACAAGTTGTGACAAATCCTTAGTTAATAGACCTTTCAGCTTCTTCACTTAGAAACTCAGCCCAGGAACTTGCACATTTAGATTGCATTGGGCAGGAGACCCGCAGCCCCTTTGAAAGGCACCTGCCCCCCCCGACCCTCCTCCCTACCCCCAGAAAATGGGAACAGTACAGCTTCTTCACACCTTCCAGAAGTTCACCTGGCCCTTGAACACTCCTCACAAGTGCAAGCTCATTAAGCTCCCAATCCTACTCCCCGCCCAGTTCAGCTAGGCCAGTTTAGATGTATCACAGTCCTGCAAGCCTGAGACTCAGGCCCCAAGTAGCGGAGAGCTTGGCCAGGGCCCCGCTCAATGGCAGTAGAGGAGGCGGTGGAAGCAGCTACGGCTGTGGGCTCCGTGGGCCGAACTAATTAAAACAGACCCTGCGTTCCTTCTGGAGCCATGAACTGACCTCTGCCTCCTCCCAACTCCTGTTCCCTCCATGTGGCAATCAAGGCTCGTCCGAACACACACTGGGAGCAATAGCACGTCTCACTGGCTATTAATTAACAAAATAAGTGGGGAACAGTTGCTGTTCATTTGCTCAGCTCCCTGCCCACAGAACCATTGTAGATTACCAGTGCTAATTAACAGAGGCCATGTGCTCGCAGGGAATGCACCATTTTATGAGGGACTGATCCGAGGCGACCAGTGCTGCAGTCAGGCCCATGAAGGCCTGAGGAAGTCATTCTGCAGTCAGGCCCATGAAGGCCTGAGGAAGTCATTCCACAGGGTAGCTGCTTATCAATGGCACTCACGCAGACTCAGAGCAGACAGCCTGCCCGGGAAGGAGGCAGGCACTGAAATCGATGGAGGAAAGAAACAGAAAGAAGTGGACACCTACAGGGTGCACACAGGGTCAGGTCTCACAAGAGGGCCTTCTCAGGGATGGCTGTCTTGCTTAACCTCTGTGACAGCATTATCATGTAGGCGGTGTCATCTCATTTCTCCCTGCCAGGCCTAGAGTTGCAAGTGACTTGTCCAGGGGGCCTTTGTTACCTCCTGTATTGGTCTGCTGCGACTGTTAAAACAAAATACCACCGACTGTGGGGCTTAAATAACAGATTTATCTTCTCACAGTTTTGGAGGCTGGAAGTCCAAGATCAAGGTTTTGGCAGGGTTGGATTCTTCTGAGGCCTCTCCTTGGCTTCTCCCTGTTTCCCCATGTGGTCTTTTGTTCTGTGTGTATACATTTCTGGTATGTCTCTCTGTTTCACATTTCCTCTTATAAGGACACTAGTCAGATTGGATTAAGGCCCACCCTCTCAGCCTTATTTTAATTTGACCACCTCTTTTAAAGTCCCTATCTCCAAATACAATCACATTCTGAGATACTGGGGGGTTAGGTCTTCAACAGATTAATTTGGGAGGGACACAGTTCAGCAAATGTCATGACATGCCACTGGGACATGAAAACTTACTGGGTAGTAGACGGGGGAGGCATATTCAGGCAGAATCCTATGCTTTTTAATATTTTTATTTATTTGAAAACTCTTAAACAGAATACTTGCTAAGTGCCAGGGTACACAGTAACGGGGGGAGGCATATTCAGGCAGAATCCTATGCTTTTTAACATTTTTATTTATTTGAAAACTCTTAAACAGAATACTTGCTAAGTGCCAGGGTACACAGTAACTATATTTTAAACTCTTTGCAAATGTGAGCTCACTTAATCTTCATAATAACCATAGGTAGTGGGTGATAGTATTGTTATCGCCCAGATGGAGAAACTGAGACCCCGATATGTTGAATAACTTGCTGAAGGCCACCAGCAGTGGTAGCACTGAATCCAAGCCTGTCATGTTTTAATCCTTGGATGTTACTTTCCTCTTCTTTAAGGACAAATGGAGAATGAGAGCGGAAGAGATCAAAGACGCTGTCTACGTGACCATGGAAATCCTGTCCAACTGGGGCAATGCATCATGGGTGGGTCTCACAGAAATTGAGTTCTTTGACCTTAATAACACAAAGCTTTACGTGTCGCCTCATGATGTGGACATCCGGAACACGGACACACCCGGGGAGCTGGGCCACCTCATCAACAGGAACTTAGTGGTAAGTGCAGGGGACACTGAACTCGTTCTTTGCTACATATTTCGATGAGTTTCCTCTTTGCAGCATAAGTCTGTGACAAGGTCCAGGTGCAGGGTTGGAGACCAGTCATTCATCCAGGCAAAGTGGGCAGGAGCCTGAAGGAGTGGTGCCCAAGGAAGCCTCCAAACTGTCTCTCCCAAAGCTTTTTCCCAGTCCCCTGCTCTGTGGGGGTCTTTTAGAGGATCCAGTTTACCCCCCTTTTATCCACCTTGCAGTTTACCACAGTCACCACCAAAAAAAACTCAGGACCTCAGAGGTCATTAAGGTCATTAAGGTCAGTGCCCTTGTTTTGTAGATGAAGAATCTAAGACTTGGAGAAGGGCATGGACTTGGCCAAGGTCACGTGGCTGGAAGGTGGTGGAGCCAAGTTAGCCTCCCGTGGCCTGGCCCAGAGCCTGTGCCCACATCCCCTCAGGGTCCTGCTTCCCTAGGCCATGAGGTGCACACCCAACAAACATCGTTGTAAGTTGGACACAAGAGACTATGAGCTAAGCTGAGACACTTACCAGCCACATAGTCTTTACTCTGCTGTGCTCCAGCATCATTCACAATTATCTCCGGGAGGGACCTGAGAACCTGGGAATGAGCTTGCCTCAGGGCCAGGGATGGGGTGGGGGGGGACAGGAGAAGGGGCAATAGGAAGACTTTTCCTCAGGTGCCCTTCTGTGCCTTTTAAATTTCCTGCCATGTTCACTTATTATCTATTCCAAAAAACAAATTATTAATTTTTTTTAAAGCATTGAAAATGAAAACAGCTACCACATGTTTAGTTCTTGCATTGAGCCAGGCACAGCGCCAGGTGCTTCGTACATATAACCTTATTTATTCCTAACTGAACAGGCTCGAGAAGCATAAAGATCCGGGTTCCAAGCTTACCACTGGGCTGGCTGGTTAGCTCACTGGGTTAGAGCATGGTGCTAATAACACCAAAGTCAAGGGTTCAGATCCCCCTACTGGCCAGCTGCCCCACCCCCCAAAAAAGCTTACCACTTACACCTTCATGACCATGGGCAACTCAGCTAACCTCTACTTATTTCCTCATCTGTAAAATGGTGATAATAATAATACTTATCTTGACTCGATGTTGTAAGGATCAAATATAAATACAAAGAGTTTGGCACCTTCCTAAGGGCTCCAAAACATGCGCTGTTATTGTTTTCACTGTTATTATTAATAATAGTATTAACATCACTAAGAAATAGATATTATTATTCCCATTTTAAAGAAAAGGAGAAAAGAAGGGTGTAGAAGAGGAGAAAATAAGGGTGTGTTTAAAATCTCCAGTTCTAGAGACCCAGGTTCTGGTCTTGACTCTGTGGCCTTGGGCAACTTATCTACCTTCTCTGAGAGTCAGTTTTTCTGCCCCCTATAAAATGAGAGATGGGGGACAGATAATCTGTTATGATTCTTAGATTGCCAGCAACAGAAACTGAGCCTTGCTCACTTTAGCATATTTTTTAAAAAGAAATTTGGTTCAAGTCATTGTCACTCAGGCCAGAAGAAGACAGCCTCATGGTCATGTTGAGGCTCACAGTAGCATCCTGGGATGCCTGAGCACCAAGGGTCTAGTCTTTTCTTGGGGACAGGGAGATGAAAAGGAGGACATTCTGCTACAAAGATTCTTCTCTCGGACTTGAGGTTCTGCTGGAAAATTGAGCTGTCCTCCTTAGAGACTTTACTGAATTGGCCTTTGGGTACAGTGATCACCTTTCATAGCATCAGAATTCATGATTAACATATGTCCTTACACTGGGTTCTTGGTTGTTGGAAACTATCAGAAAACGGAAGAAAATGAGAAGGGGAGATGGAGAAAAAGATAAAGCTTCACTCAGTTAATACAACAAACATATATGCAGATATTTTGGAAAGTGTTGGTTGGATGGTTTGTTGGTTGCTTGCTTGCTTGGTCCTCTCATTCGCCTGCTGGAGATATCTAGTCTCAGTAGAGGAAGGCTGAGGGACCAACCTGTCCAGGAGGGCAGGGCACCTTGATGTCAATTCCACCAAGACACCCCAACAGAGCAGGGAGGGACTCTCTCTAAAGAAAGTCAGTAGAGGAAGGCTGAGGGACCAACCTGTCCAGGAGGGCAGGGCTCCTTGATGTCAATTCCACCAAGACACCCCAACAGAGCAGGGAGGGACTCTCTCTAAAGAAAGTCAGGATTGTGACTAAGAAAGCAGGATAGATGCTAGATAACCAAGAAATGACAGCTGTGCACAGGGCTGGGCTGGGTGGGTCAGAGCCCCCTTCCAGATCAGCAGCTCTGTGACCCTAACCTTTTGGATGCTCTGCATCCTGCTGCAAGTTGGGGGACTCCGATGCTTTCTGCCGGGGCTGGAACCAGCCTTGCCACCCTTCCCCCATCACCCTTGTGCAGAAAGCAGTGACATTTTGGAAGCCTGCTGCACAGAACAGACCACACCAAGGCAATAAAAAGCATCATTGCAGTTGATGGGACCAATTCTGACGATTAGTACAAGCTGATAAACTTTGCCATGAGTTGGCAGTGAGGACTTTGGCTTTGGTTTGGGTGGGTTTGGGGTTTTTATTTAATGGCCCTGGGGTTGGGACATGAGGCAGCTGTGTCACCCTGGGCCACTGGATCTCTGGGCCCAGCTGCAGGCAGGCTGCATTCCCCCCATGTCCCTGGGGTCTCCCTGATGGTGGTCCTGTGTATCAGGTTTGGGACCACCAGAACATGCTGCCCATCAGAACCATCCACTATGCCTGATGTGTGCCAGGCACCCCTGCTATGTCACCTTGTTTAACCCTCGCATCAGCCTTGGGATGACGCTCCCATTTTATAAATAAGACCAAGTCTCAGGGAAGATGAGTGGCGATGGCTGGTGGAGCCCAGTTGACAGCTGAGCGCAGGTACCTGGAGTGGAGGCTGGGTTCAAAAGAGAAGGTACTTCAGCGGAGGTGAATTGGGAGCGTGCTGCATCAGCCTTGGGATGACGCTCCCATTTTATAAATAAGAAGACCAAGTCTCAGGGAAGATGAGTGGCGATGGCTGGTGGAGCCCAGTTGACAGCTGAGCGCAGGTACCTGGAGTGGAGGCTGGGTTCAAAAGAGAAGGTACTTCAGCGGAGGTGAATTGGGAGCGTGCCCCAGGCTCCGTGCAAACCGTCCTCCCTTCTGTGCCCCCTCCAGCTCTCCCCCAGGCCGCACCCTGGCTCATGGTATAAACATGACTCCAGATTTTACACCCGGCCCTGCCTGCTCCTCTGAGTTGATGACATGAATGTCAACTTCCTGCTTGACATTTCCTCTTGGATTTCTACTAGCCATCTCAGACTTCACAGATCTAAAACCTAAGTTTTGATTCCCCCTACCCACCCCACACTTCCTCCTCTTCCCGTATTTCTTTGCTCAGTAAATAGCATTGCTGTCTGGTCAGCTGCCCAAGCTCCTCTCTTAGGGTCTTCCTTCACTGACCCACCCTGTCTCCACCACCCTCCAGCACACCAGCTCATCATGTTGCTGCTACCTTCCAGATAGAGCCAAAACCTGGCCCCTTTCTTCATCTCCACTGGTACTCCCCACGTTCAATCTTCTTTCTTCTCTCAGACTGTTAAACAGCTGCCTTTCTTATTTTCTCCTTCTATTCTTGTCCCATCTACTTCATTTTCCACTCTGCATCCAAAGTTATCTTTTAAAAATATCAGCTTGTGGGGCCGGCCCGTAGCTCACTTGGGAGAGTGTGGGGCTGATAACACCGAGGCCACAGGTTCAGATCCCTATATAAAGGGATGGCTGGTTAGCTCACTTCAGAGAGCGTGGTGCTGACAACACCAAGACCAGGGTTAAGATCCCCTTACTGGCCATCTTTAAAAAAAAAAAAANTCAGAATTCATGATTAACATATGTCTTTACACTGGGTTCTTGGTTGTTGGAAACTCAGAAAACGGAAGAAAATGAGAAGGGGAGATGGAGAAAAAGATAAAGCTTCACTCAGTTAATACAACAAACATATATGCAGATATTTTGGAAAGTGTTGGTTGGATGGTTTGTTGGTTGCTTGCTTGCTTGGTCCTCTCATTCGCCTGCTGGAGATATCTAGTCTCAGTAGAGGAAGGCTGAGGGACCAACCTGTCCAGGAGGGCAGGGCACCTTGATGTCAATTCCACCAAGACACCCCAACAGAGCAGGGAGGGACTCTCTCTAAAGAAAGTCAGGATTGTGACTAAGAAAGCAGGATAGATGCTAGATAACCAAGAAATGACAGCTGTGCACAGGGCTGGGCTGGGTGGGTCAGAGCCCCCTTCCAGATCAGCAGCTCTGTGACCCTAACCTTTTGGATGCTCTGCATCCTGCTGCAAGTTGGGGGACTCCAATGCTTTCTGCCAGGGCTGGAACCAGCCTTGCCACCCTTCCCCCATCACCCTTGTGCAGAAAGCAGTGACATTTTGGAAGCCTGCTGCACAGAACAGACCACACCAAGGCAATAAAAAGCATCATTGCAGTTGATGGGACCAATTCTGACGATTAGTACAAGCTGATAAACTTTGCCATGAGTTGGCAGTGAGGACTTTGGCTTTGGTTTGGGTGGGTTTGGGGTTTTTATTTAATGGCCCTGGGGTTGGGACATGAGGCAGCTGTGTCACCCTGGGCCACTGGATCTCTGGGCCCAGCTGCAGGCAGGCTGCATTCCCCCCATGTCCCTGGGGTCTCCCTGATGGTGGTCCTGTGTATCAGGTTTGGGACCACCAGAACATGCTGCCCATCAGAACCATCCACTATGCCTGATGTGTGCCAGGCACCCCTGCTATGTCACCTTGTTTAACCCTCGCATCAGCCTTGGGATGACGCTCCCATTTTATAAATAAGACCAAGTCTCAGGGAAGATGAGTGGCGATGGCTGGTGGAGCCCAGTTGACAGCTGAGCGCAGGTACCTGGAGTGGAGGCTGGGTTCAAAAGAGAAGGTACTTCAGCGGAGGTGAATTGGGAGCGTGCCCC